CGATCACCCCAAAACCCCAAAACCCCCCACTTCAAAAGTTTGTAGAATCATGTTTGAGAGAAATTAATTCAAAATAATCAATTCTGCTTTTGCTTTGTGTTTCCGACATCTGAGTAAAGGAAGAACACTATGAATAAAAATCCTGCTCCCATCATAATGAAGATGTTGTAGTAGTATGGGTAGGCGACTCTCAAAAATCTTGGATATTCATCATGTCTGAATTAAATAACAGATACAACAGTTTCTTCGTCAAGGAATGAATAGCCATATCTCCAATAGGTAACCTTGAACTTAAATACTCCGAGAGCATCTGGAGCTTTCAAAGCAGCATGATAAGTAGGTGAAGTCTTATCTTCTTGCTTCAAGAAGATTCTGTAATGTGGATCAAGCTTAATGAATTCAAGTTGAATATCGTCAGCAACGAAGGGGACATAAGTTCCATCTGGAAGTTTCTAGTGAATGTCGACATTAAACTCAAGTTCATCCAAAACTCTGTAGTTCTCTGGGTTCACACCCTCCCATTTCTCGTCTTTCTATAGAATATGTTAGACTCAAGAATCTAAAGTCTAAACTTGTGATACCTTGTTATGTCTCAGGTTGGAAAGCTTCAAAACACCTCTCTGTTAAAATGTCCATTGATAGAGTTCTTTGCAGAATACATAGTTAGCTGAGCTTTGAATACTGCCGTTTTTGCCAACACTAAATAAGAATGATTACTTATCTATATTCATACGTGAGGAGCATGTGATTGTTAGAGCAGAGTCCAAGAGAACCTGAAACTGAAACTCTATGATTTTTTCTTGTTTGATATCCAGCGACCAAAGTTAGTTGCTCTCCAGAAAGCTTTGAGACTTCATTATTCTCTTTATTGAATGAAAAAGTAGATTTCTCAGCTCTGAGAATGGGGAAGGCGAAATTGTTGGCTTAATCAATATTTAGACCAACTCCAGTGAATGCAATAGATGTCTCAGGCACAGTGAAAATTCCATTTGATTCCTTTTTGAATGGAGTAAAAAGGTTCTTGGAAACGACTAGGTTGTTTTCATTGGTATAGATTCTACTGTGCTCATAATCTCTAACTTCATAACCCTAAAATACTTTATAAATAGAGTGTTTGGCTTACGACATTCTCAAATTCCATTCCAAATTCGTTGACGAGGGATCTGATTGGCTTCTTGACATCAGCATCACCAAAGATCATTATATTGTGATTGGCTTAAACGAAATCCAAAAGATCTTAATGAGTAATTGGGGTCTTCAATTCTATAAATAGATTTTAATGAGTTAAAGATACCTTTGACTGATGGAGCCATTAAGATGATGTTGTCGTAGTAGTATTCCTCATAGTACTTAATAGTAGGGGTATTAGAGGAAATCATCTCGTATTACAAAACATGGCCATCTCTTTGAAGGCTGTCGAAGAAAATGCTGTGGGACTCTACAATAGAGTAGTCGTCTAGAAGAACTAGAGTCTGAATGCCACTTTTCTTGGGGATGACATCTGATTTAATCAATGCTCCAAAGAGGAGGGATAATATCAGGGAAGATACTACTTTCATATATCTTAGTTAATTATTAATGATTAATTAATTTAGAGTAATTTAGCTAATTATAAGTATTTAATTTAAAGGTAGAAATTAAACTATACAATCAAATATGCTTCCTCTTGTGAAAGTGTTACTAATGACCTTTAAGATATTTTCAAGGCCCTTGAATAATATTCTTAAGAAATCTTTTCATCACAGATTTTTATTTATGGAACGACTTATATGCTTCTGCGGTCAAAAGGCACATATCTTTGAGATCAAGCTGAATAGGTTCATTGTACCGAATACAAGTAACCTACCTCTGTTCATAAAACCTCTCTCGCAAGAAGCAGCTTTTAACAAAGGAGTCGAATACTTTGTGGAATTAGTATTTTTCTATGGTATATTGATAACTATTGCTATGTATGAGATTAAGAGTTCTTAGGAAGTATCATCTGGATTAAAGAAAAATGTAGATTCTTTTGAAAGTGAATGCAAGGACGCTGAAAACTAGATTGGCAAGTTAAAACATGATATTAGCGATTGCTAGAACTTCCTTTAACAATCAAATTAAGAATATAAGAAAGTGCTTAGTGAACTGTCATAGATGAATCTAAAACTTAATAGGATGTATGAGGATAAGGAGATCTGATAGTTAGATCAAAGGTCATCGTTATACAATATTTAGATCAGGACAGAGAAGGTCGAAAAAGTAAAATTTTCATCAAATGTTTGCATGTTTATTATATCTTTAAATTAAATCAACAGCTCACGCCCTATTTATCAGATTTTATAAAATCGAATTTCAAACTATACTAACACCCATGGGGTTTTGGGGTTTTGGGG